AAGTGATGTCATGGCCGCCCCTCACCTTTAGTTCGGGTTTGTCTTTAATTATTGTCAGGGAGGAACACACAGCCCAGCTCATCAACTGGATAAATATTTGACCGCTGTTCCATAAATTGGCATTTGGGTGGGATGGGGATGGGGGTGGGGGACTTTTAGTTTAACGAGGCATTCTGTCCGAGTCAGACATCATGCGCTGAGCGACGCACAGTGAATTGGCTCTCTGCAGGTGACCACAGCTTGTCTCGGCGAGAGGTAAATTAAAACTAGCATTACTGTTCAGGAAATGAGAGATTTTCAAACACTTCCCGAATTTGTCTTATTTAATTATAACCCATGTCAAAGCCTAATCTGGGGAGCTTAAGCGGGGCATCCAATTAATCAAGAAAAAGGTATGTTTGCGGACCACGGAGTGAAGTGTGTGCGTGAGAGAGAGACAGAGAGATTTAGTGGATGAACATATTTGTGCTTTTTTTTGTGTATCATTTTTGCTCTTGGGTGCACGTGCCTTGTGGGTAATATGTTGAGGTGGGCTCGGGGGCATGTGCCATCCCCATGCGAGTATAAGCTCAGAGCAGGACACACGGGCTACGAGCCGTCACGCCTTTACAAATAAGCATCCCACTGTGATCTTTAGCTAGCGTCGCTTTAGCGTGGCTTATGGTTTATGCTAATCACAGATCTGTGGAGGATCATAGAAATCCTAAACAGGCTGACGTTTTTGATTATCATTCCATGTTGGACAACAAAGGCGACAAAGGACAAAAGAAGACACCAAACTTTTCGTGCAGTACAAAAACCCCACAACATTTAAATATATTGAATTCACTTATTGGAACAGAGGGTGAGGAATGCATGTAATAACATCTGAACAAATTGGAGATAGTTTCATTTGAGCCTTAAGCTGCTGTTCCTGATTCACAGTTGCAGTAATCAGGAGCGTTTCTCACTGAGTGTGCGCCCGAAGGTTCAGATCACATAAGTACCTACAAGTCACCTCTGTCACGAACTTGTAACATTGCATCAATTGCCACATAATAAGTCAACGCCTCTGTATAAGCCTGAGTGGCACGTACTGTATAGTTGCATGTCGTAACTTGGCCCCACCGTGTAGAATGTCATCGTGGGAGATGAGTTTGCTCCGCGTGTTATGATGCAGAAGAAATGAAGAGGTAGCTGGCATGTGTGTCAGTGCGTCAATGTGTATTTATGTTTCAAATGGTCTCTGCATTGAGAACCAGGTTTTAAAAAACTGGGATCACCTTCCCTCTGGTTTCCACATATCATCAAAACATCAGCATATGGAAAAGCAATGAGCCCAGAGTGATGGGTCAAACACAGTCGCTGTCTCAGTGACGTTGAACTATCGTCAATAAAGTTAAATGGATCGCAGATGGGTGTTAAACTTTGATCTTGTATTCTTCCAGGAGTGCGGAGGAAGCCGTTTTGCATCCCTGTCTAAAAGCTGTGCTGCAGGCGTCATCTTCACATGTGGATTTTGCATCGGCTGGCCCCAGTTATTGTGATAACCCGCCGAGTGGGCTCTTGTTTTTAACGTCACTATTAATCGTCAATCACCTTCTCTTCTCTTCTCTTTTTTTAATCTGAGGCATACATATTTATGAAGTCTGGTGTTTTTGTGTGAACATTTGTGACTGATTATGTGCACTATTTCTCAATCCAAACTTGGAGTCCAGATGTGCAGTTACACAAGATGAAGGTCAGTCATTATTCATCTCCCCGTGTCCCTGTTCCTTGAGGAATATGGTGTTTGTTTGCATTCAAACACAGCGACAGGCCTCCATTTTTATTTAATGAGTCTGTGAATTCATGTCTATTCCCCGTCCAGACAGAACATATCAAACTGCCAAACACTAAGTCTGCCTCCTTTGACAGCTGAGCCAATAGAAGGTTGAATGTTTTGATCAGACAGCCTCAAACAATCCTTTACTTGGAGAAAAAGAAAAAAAAAACTTACCATAATGCTATTAATCATGTTAGGGTGCCAGGGTTCAGCTGGTGTCACGGTCATCTTCAAAAAAGCCTTACTTATTAATTTCTTCTCATTCTGCACCGACGTGTGTGTGTGTAAAAGTCTTTGAAGGTTTGATCAGGTACAGGTGCTGCTTCTCGCCATTCAAAGCGGCACCTCAACTCTTTAGCCCGGCCATTAAAGTCGACGCGAAGGCCAGCATGGGCCAAATCTTTTGCATTTCTATGAGAATGGCAGTCTGCAAAGAAATAAGCTCATTATGGATAATTACAGATGTTCTGTCCTGCAGACATGTTCTGCCAGTTTCTGCAAAAGTTAGTTTTCAGCAAATGAAATACTTGTGCTGTACAGACTGTTGCTAACATGCCATTAGCATTGTTTTAAGGGAACACAGTAGAAAAATAAGCGTGTGCCCTTTCTTGCTGAGTTAGATATGAGGTTCAATTCCACTTTTATGTCTGTCTTGTGAATACAGCTGCTGCCAGATGTTGTGTGTGAGAGTGGTATCAATCTTTTCATCCTGCTCTTGTCAAAGAAGTGAATAAGCCTATTTCCTAAACTGTCAAAGCATTACTTCAACCAGTTTTATTAGAATATGTCTTACAGACAAGCAGCAAAGACTTACAGGGCCTAAGGAAGATGCTGGAGCTTACAAAGTGTTTTGGAGATTTGTGTGTGTATGTCAGGGAAAAGCTCGACACAGAGACGGCTGTTTGTTTGGGGGCCGGCAACGGAGGATTAGTCTTGTCGGCGGCATGTAACCCCGACTGAGCCGGTACTCCTCTTCGCCACTACACACTCCAGCAATCAGGCAGGCTGCCAAACAAACAGATGAAGTCAACAGAGAGACATTTTCCTTGTGTCTTCTGAAATGTGACGGCAACAGACGCAACACTGACACCGACGCTTGACACAGTGTGACAGCCCTACTGTGTCTACACAGCCGGCTCCACTTTGACTTATTTTGAAGGAGGGAGGGAGTCGTGGGTTGACACTGTGCACATGATCACACACAAGATAATGTTTGTCAGCAGCAACAGCGCTGTCACCGTGTAAGAGAGACAAAGACACACAACGCGGGTTGATTTCACGGGTGTAGGCGTGTTGCATGTACACGATTTCCATCTGAGGGGGGGACCTCGCAGTCGGCTTTTAAGGGTGCACACTTTTGACTCGTGCATGATTCAATATCCGAAGTGAACTGTGGCCATTACACACTGCAAGGTCAAACTCCCATTACTTAAATGCAATTTTATCCATGATTTTCTTTTCCTTACCGGCCCCCATCCCTCAAATATATCTCCGCATTGCCACCCAGATAGGCCAACTGAAAGCACTGCATGCTGGTTAATGGAGTTCTTGGCTTGGAGCAGCTCTAGGGGATGGAGTGAGGGAGTATCTGTATCCAAGTAATTACAGTCTGAGGGGGCATAGAGGTCCTCTGTGATTACAAATCAGCACTGTAATGGATTCAACACTTATAGACGGAGTGAGGGAGCCGCGTTCCTTACCCTTCCAGTTGCAGAGGCAGGGGGGGACAGCTGGGAGAGAGCAGGCGAGGTGGGGCGGGGTAGGTAGGTATATCTGCAAGATGGATTACGCGGGGTTTGCCGAGTTCAACATTGACACAGATTCATCGTAAATCATTATGCCGGGGACCCGGAGTGATTTCTGCATTAGGAGCAGAAAATGGAGTTCAGCCAGTCAATGAGGGAGGGCATATTTCACATCAATCACCTCCACACTCTCATGTTACCGAGGCTTAAATCTCACTTATACTGTTACCAATAGGGTTCAATGCCTATGATGGCAATCAGCAAGACACTGCACTAACAATACCCCACTGACTACACAGGAGACGCAGCACGGGGCTGCATTGCCATTTATTTAAAGTGAATTATATATGAATTGAAATGGAGGAAAGTATAAGATGGTCTTGGCACTGAGGAGGTTGTTGAGATTATAACTCTGTTGTATATGCAGTTGATAGTTTTTTCAAACTTTTAACTCATGCTGGCTGACTTTGCAGCTGAGTTCTTGCAGCTGATTTAGTCGTATTCTTCATGGAGATAAAGTTAAGGCCTGGGACTGTAACTGAGGTTGTAAAGGTATCCGGTCAAAAATACTTCAGATACTGGGGGTCTTTTAATGTAGCACAGTTCCTCGGGGAACAAACATGGGGGTTTAATCCTATGAGTTTGCTTAAAATTAGATTAACTTCCATATTGTTAGCGGTAACATGCACAGAGGACAGTTTGTAGAAAAGTAATTGGTGGGGGTTCTGTGAAATGAACTTTTGAAACATGTCATTAAATTAAATTTATGTTATCAAGCCATGAGCAGATTTGGCAGAGGTCATAAAGTATCAAGCAGTGAAATAATCTTGCATATATGTATTTTTGAGCTGTAAGAGAAGTGCTACAGTCTCAACCTTAAAATGTTATAATTTGAACTGAATACCTTTTATCATAGTTCATTCATTCACATTGAAAACAGAACATAAAATGACTTTGGAGATTCAAGTTACGATAACAAACATAATGAAGTCACATGATTAACCAATTAGCCAATTAACATAAGCTGATGAACTCAGCCACAGGGTGTAATAAACTTCTGAGATGTTGTATTCAAGTCCCAAAGTAAGGTCCGGAAATTTCGAAACTCGTGATCACACAGTTTAAAATGTAGATTAAAAAACTTCAAGGATTACTCTTTGTACACATATATATATTTTGTAGTTTGTCCTAACTTGAAGTTGAGGGCACACATGTTCAGGGAGGGCTCAGTTCACTCCTCTGCCGCCCAGGGAAGAGAAGCAGCAGCCTCCACTGGCCGCGCTGCAGGAATCCGGATATGATGAAGTTTTTAGACCCAACCAAAAAAAAAAAAAAAAAAAAAAAATACACGAGACAAGAGATGGAGGAAGATGCATGACAACAGAATGGAGGCCAGTTGTTTATTTGGTGTGAAGAGCGACACCCACCTCCTCCTCCTCACAAAAAAAAAAAAAAAAAAGAAAAACCTACCGCCACTGAAACGTCGAGCACGTCGAGAGGATTTATTGTGGATTTGTAAAACTTTTTAAAACAGGGAGACAAAGTGCGGACGAACCAGGAGCGACACAAACTAACAGGGGGAGCGGAGTTAAGAGAAGTTTGTCGCTTTCTCCAAGTTTGTCAGTTTTTCCAGAAGGAGCTGGAGGAAGGAAGGATGAGAACAGACGTGAAGTGAAGGGAGTTGACATGTTTGAAAGGTGAGTTTAGCTTCTTTTATCGAAACGCTGTGTCTGCTTCAGGTTCAAACACTTTGCTTTGCTCCGTCGCCTTTTTTTTCTGTTTTAAGACAGTTTGAACATTTCCACGAAGTTTTTTTTTTCTGTTTCGGGCAGCTCGACGTCACTTTGTTTTCTCACACGACTCGTGTCTCTCTCAGGTTGAGTAATGGTGACCTGTTGTTTTTACTCCGTGTCTTCAAGCCCGAGCTGCTGCTGAGGAGATGAGACGTTGAGACACACGGCTCCTTCTTCTTCGTCTTCTTCTTCTGCTGCGTGTGTCCCCCACAAAGACACGACTGTCTCATGTCCAAGGAGACCGTCCTTCCTCCGGATGTGCCAGGGCCAGACAAGGGCCCCCAGCAAGAGACCAGTACTCTGCTGTCAGCCTCTCACGGTAAGAGGGGCCACACACACACACACACACACACACACACACACACACACACACACACACACAGGAACAGGTTAGGCCTCCAGATCAAGGCTGATTAACGATTATCGACAATTACAGCATCATAATCTTCATCAATCTGGATATAAGACAGGTTCATTTACATGTGTTGTTTATGCATCGTGCAAACACAGTGAGGAGGTGAAACACAAGATTCCTCTTCCTCTGATTTGTAAGATGTTTTAAACAAAGAAGAGTTTAGAGCCACAACCTTTGATTCCGTTCGAGGATTCAAGGGATTTTTATACACACAAACATTTGCTGTTAATACATCCTGACGGAGCAACACATTTATAGGACAATATAATGCATGCATCCTCCCTTAAAGTCTTTGTCATTCTCTGTCCACAAAGACTTAAACCCTTAAAAAATAAAACCACAACCACAAGAAGTAAAGATGCATGGCAATGCCGAATTTAGAGTTTCTGATAAATACAAACATGGCAGCGGCGGAGGAGGTTGTGATATTGTATGAAATGATGCCTGTAGTCTCCTAGCAACTTGTAAAGTCTCTCCTATAGATTTCTTCCTTGTGTCTTTTGGTCGTATTGCTTGATCTATTGGCTACACTGCACCCCCAGGTGTCCTGTGGTACTGCTCTGTTTCGTCTGTTTCACATGTATCTGTAAACTTTGAGGTGTGCACGAATACAGGTGACATGAACGCAGAGTACAGACAAAAGGCTCCGTCCGTTTCCGTTTATGTATCTAACGTTGAGCATGAATGAGCCGTTAGTCCACATTTGCACTGGCTTGCATCTAACAACACAAAAACTCTCAGTGGGTCTGTCACCCAAATTTTTGTGATCCACAAACCATGTGTGTCTGTGTGAGCGCCCTGCAACATGCAAACATTTTGGAATCCATTCAGCTGAGTGCAAGACTCAAATGTGCATGAAGTTTGCGCTTGAATGTTTACCAAGGGTTTTTTCCTCTGTTCAATGCTGCCAGTGCTCGAGAAATAAAATTGAGCAATGAATACGTATCAGTGACATATTGTGTGAAGAATTCATGTTTGCTTGCACAGTCAAACATGAGGTAAAATGTCTGAAAAGCTAATACAGAAAGCAAGACAATGATCAGATTGGTGGTGCGTATCCAACTTTGGGACAATATCAGCCTTGTCTCCTCGAATTATATTCATGTGTCTTTTAGTATACATCAGTATCTGCCCCCCAATGTTCAGTGTTAATCATGTTTTTGCTTTTTTTCCACCCTCAATAAAGTCTGAGGAAACGCCCTGGTGACTATTAACAGCAACCACAGCCAATTATAGTTTTTAATTAACTTTCTAGTTGCCCCTAAGATTATCACATGTAAAATAAGCTTACCCCCGCACCCCCTTTTCATTTTTCTTCAAACAAGCAATGAACCGTTAACCATCCTATTTATACCAAGCATCATTATGGCACTGTCAAAAAATAGCAAAGTAGGACAAAGTAAGCAATCACTGGGGCTGCTGGATTGCGAATGGATTTTTTTTTTTTTTTTACTGGACCTTCAAAGGCGCTCACAGTAAAGACTGAATTTCCCCTCTCAGGGGACTGTGGATGTACAGAGAATAGGCCAATTTATTTCTAACTGTGATCACTAAATACTGCGATGCATCACAGGGTGCTGCTGCTATCGCAACTGTTGTTATCAAACATCAGCTCTGAGCTGAGGTATGTGCCATATCTATCTAGAACTGCTGACCTGCTGCCATCCCCTTCCACTCCTCCATCCATCACTGAAATAGAGAGCGTTGTAGCACTGGAACAAACACATCAAGCTCACGTAAACATGACAGGTTTCACTGAATAGTTCTTTTTTCTTCTTTAAAATCACAGCAAAAGTGGCTCAAGACACAGTATACTACTGAAAAACCTAAAGGCTGTGAGGAAGGAGTGTGGGATACTCGCAGGCAGCTGGCATCAGACCAGTGAATAAAGTCATTGTGGAAGGTTTATTTACTGAACAAAGCAGCAGTGTGCAACGAGCAGAGCGTCAGCGAGTCTTGAAGTTGAGAAGACGCGGCTTAGGAGAGATGAGTGAAACTGTCTCTTGCATTTTTTTGCGCAGCTATCAGGCTGGGAGTTTTTGCCCACATACTTTTTCCAATTTAGATGAATGCAGCCTTTATGGCAGTAAAAAAGAAGCTTGGCAGGTCGAGCACACCCGGGAGCAGAAGGGGAGAGAAAATGAGATCCAGAGCTCTGGCAAGGCCTTTACCTGAACCGCCCCCACCATGTTGTGGAGCCATGTTGCCAGCGGCTTGTGGGATTTTTTTTTTTTTTCTGGCAAAAACTGGCAGTGGACTCTGATATTTTGTCCACTGTGGTTGACCCTGCAGTAAAACTTAGCACCTGCGTGTGTGGAGGAAAACATGAACATCTAGAACATTTGCTCATTATAGGATGATTTAGCTCTCAGCTTTGTGTTGGACAGGTTTTCCTATTTCATCCATGATTAACATTTAATGCCTCTGACCCCCAGATGCTCGTGACAGCGAATCGTCAGGAAGAACGCCATCTCCCAGGAAACCAGTCGCCAAAGGACGAAGTCACGTGACGGATGAGCGGCCTAATTACTGCGAGCCCGTAAGAAGTAAGTTTTTAATCACCTTGGAAAGCTGTGGGCGGACAGCAGGATATCTCAGGTGTTGTTTTTCATGATAAACAACAATGAGCTGTTAAATTAGACATGTTGAAAATGATTGGCATATTCTGCCTCCACACTCACATGCTTGAATTAAACTGCGTTTTTACTGATGTTTAATCTCACATTTATGTATAATTTCAAATGAAATCATAATCCAGCTGTCAAGAATAGTTGTTGTGACAGTTGCACAGTGTTCGTGAACAAAGCAGGGTCAGCCGGCCAAATAAAATATTAGTGTCAGTGTTTCCAATTAATATATTATCAAGGTGGCACCGAGGTCTCTTGGCAGGGTTGTCATATTATATGCTGTCATTCTGCCATAATGACCAAAATTTGGCTCACTTCCCCTGTTTTTCCTTCCAACCCTCAGACTTGTCCTTTGGAAGTGGGGAAATCCTGTTTGCGGTTCTGGCATTTACTGTCTCAATGCACTGATTGCAACTTAGCCACAATGTTTTTACTCCATACTAAACATTTACCTAGAACGGCACCGGCTGCTTGAGGCTTTCTTGTCCTGAGTGTCATTCAGCTCTCAATCAACATTGCGTCAATAATCTACCATACTAGTAACACATGTTTTAGAGCTTAAAATCTTCTCTTCTTTTTTCTAATTTTATGACATTGGAAACTTTGGAAGCCCGAGTTGTAACTCTTGAAATAATCACACTGCTAAATGCAAATGCCCTGATACAGGAAGGTCTTACAAACAATAATTTGGCATTGAACTGCTGAGTTATTATCAGGCGTAATTAAGTCTAGATGCTCTCTGGTGCAGTGAAATGACTTGATACTGAGCTATGGATTAGAGGTCATAAAAAGTGTGTGTGTGTGTGTGTGTGT